CCAGCAGCACCACCTCCAGCAGCACCTCCGCCCCCAGCAGCGCCCCCGCCGGCAGCACCTCCCCCAGCAGCACCACCTCCACCTCCAGCAGCACCTCCTCCACCAGCAGCACCTCCTCCTCCAGCAGCACCACCAGCAGCACCACCGCCAGCAGCACCACCTCCGCCCCCAGCAGCACCTCCGCCTCCAGCAGCACCTCCGGCAGCAGCACTTCCTCCGCCCCCAGCAGCAGCTGAAGCCCCGCCACCAGGAGGCAAGCCCAATGCCGAAGTGAGCCATTTTGGAAGCCATAAGTTGGAACTTACTGGAGCTCCGCCTGCTTTATTAACAATAAGCGTGGGTAACATCCAAACATCTTCTAAGTTCTTACCAGAACCGCAACAACATGGACAACAAGGTAGGTTAAGGCAAGAGCTTCCTCCACACGACATACATCCTCGGCATCCACTGCAACCACAAGGACCTGGATTAAAGCATCCTCCACCAAAATTCGCTCCACATGGCATAAAACATACTGAGCCCCCACCCCCTCCGTCGTCTTGTGAATCACCACCATCGTCTTTTTTGCTGTCTTTCTTTTTGTCCTTCAGTTTGACCTCCGCTGTATCATCATTCTCTTTTTTGGTCTTTTTCTTCTTCTTTTTGGCTGCAGACTCGTCTTCATTTTCTTCTTCATCACGTTCTTCATCTTGCACTTGTTCATCATCCTCTTCTTCCTCTTCATCATCATCATCTTTACTACTATCTAATGTTTTTACAGCTTTTTCAAGAATTTTATATAGTTTACCAAACCTTCCTCTTGAGATTTCTTTAACAGGAGTATCAGGTCTTTCTTCTTCTGTTCGTTTGGTCACGGAAAAACCCTTTCCATTTTTTTCCACAACAAAAACAGTATTCTTAGGATGATAATTGTCTTTTTGTCGAAGAACAACACCGCTGAAGCCCTCAACTCCATCAAGATATTTATAAAACTTGTGGTAAGCATGTAACTCGCTATCATTGTGATATTTAGCTGCCAAACACGATAAAAAAGAAGTCAAAAAGAGTGTCATTAGGAAGATATCCATTATGACATCTATATTAATTCCGTAGAGGTCCCTAACAATGTCTTCATGATAGATATTTCACCTCTTGAACAACGTATATTTATCACGATTTCCATCGCCATCACAGTAATTTCCAACAACCGAGATTGTTGCAATTGCTTTTAAAGTTGACAGTTTTATCAATCATGATATTTAGATTTAGAAGCAAAAATGATGGTTGACTTGTGGATTTTTCGCTTCACTACACACCTTTCTAGTTTAGCACATTTTGATCTACTTACATGAAGATCTGTTGCAGGTACTTAAAAGAAGACATAAAACATTGATGCCGTCTTTTTCATTAATTTTACCAATAAAAATATAAACATAAAATATAAAATAAATATATATAAAAAAAGAAAAGAAAAGAAAAGAGAGGCATGATTATAGTTTTATTAAAATTCACAGTCATGGGTCAAAAATTTAAAACAAACGCCATGTAAAATAACAAAGGAGAACGTTCAATAAAATTCAACGAATTACGTCAAAAATTCTTTTAAAAATATTTAAAAAATAAATCAATTATAAAATTAAACTCATGCACGTTTTTTTGTAACTTGTAGTCTTAGTAAGGCAATCAATTGCTGAATATCTTTACATTGTAAAATGATAAAGGAGCAAGGACATCTTTCCACGAGAGAGCATCACGTTCTCATTAAGCATCCTCCACAAGGATTCCCAAATCCACATCCACACATTAACTGTCCTTTCATGGCCTTGAAGTCAAATTTTGGTGGATGATATTTCACTTTTACCTTCTGGTAACATGGTCCACAGCACCCACAGCACCCACAGTTGCTGCAGGGCAAGGAACATACACCCATGTCACATTGAGGCTTTATCTTCTTCTTCGGTGGTGGATACTGTAAGTTCAAAAGGGCATCTTTAAGAAGACCTATGACTTTCTTCACCTTTAGTTTAGTAAGATTCCTCTTGCAGCAGATGAAGCATAGACATTTTGAATCACTTGAACTCGATATCGATTTACGGGAACGTTTGAACTTAATACAACGGGTAATTCCATTCATTTGTCTTCTATCATCTTTATTTTCTCCGGTACTCTTGAGTTTCTCGATGCCTTTGGAGGAAATTTTGAAGGAAATTTTCTTGTTAACAGCTATAGCTGTATCTTTACCAACTGTTTTTCCAAAGTACTGATGATTAGGAGATATATCCCGTTTGGAAAGCAATAAACCAAGTGAAAGCTGACGCTGAACATCTTTCCATGAAATCTTCGATCGTTTGGCGTGGAGGACACTTCCTAAGGCTTTTGTAGAGGCTTTTGTTGCATTTTGATGGAAATGTCCACGGATTCCAATTAAAAATACTAAAACAATAAACGTTATAAAAATATTTTTCATTTTTTTCTTTTTCGAAAGGAGAAGTAGACCGGGAGGATCTGGGAATACCATACGGGTGGAAACTGACGGGTGACCTAGTGGTAAAAGCGCTCGCCTCTCACCAAGGAGATACACAAACTCGAGCTTAGCAAAAGAAAAAGTCTTCCGAGAAAATGATAGATAGTTTCGGATATGATGTTCGTTATGAAAAGAGTTTGATTTGTACTGTAATCTTCCAATTCTAGTGGATTGGTTGAAATTGTTTTAAAAAAATTAGTTGTAAAGCTTGTCATACACTAGGGGGGAGGGGAGGGGGGCAGGTAGAAGTAATTTGATCAGACAGACCGTTTTATATGCGCTGTTGAAAACGTAGTGCAGCTAGTGCAGCAGCATAGAGGTTTTGCACCATCACGTGATGCCATTCATGTTACACGACACGAACAATATATTCGTTTACATGAGAAAGAATTCAATTCCCGAGAGCAAAGGGATTGTTTTGATTGGGATGGTGCAAATCTTCCATTGAAAATCTTGGTAAGAAGGAAGGAAAGAGTGAGGAAGGAAAGAGTGAGGAAGGAAAGAATGAGGAAGGAAAGAACGAAGGAAGGAAAGAGTTAGGAAGGAAAGAGTGAGGAAGGAAAGGGTGAGGAAGGAAAGAGTGAGGAAGGAAAGAGTGAGGAAGGAAAGAGTGAGGAAGGAAAGAGTGAGGAAGGAAAGAGTGAGGAAGGAAAGGGTGAGGAAGGAAAGAGTGAGGAAGGAAAGAGTGAGGAAGGAAAGAGTGAGGAAGGAAAGAACGAAGGAAGGAAAAAGTGAGGAAGGAAAGAACGAAGGAAAGAAAGAGTGAGGAAGGAAAGAACGAAGGAAGGAAAGAGTTAGGAAGGAAAGAACGAAGGAAAGAAAGAGTGAGGAAGGAAAGAAAGAGGAAGGAAAGAGTGAGGAAGAAAAGAGTGAGGAAGGAAAAGAAGGGAAAAAAGATAGAAGGGAGGCGCAGGGATGGTGGTAGAAAAAACATCTAAATATTTGAAATCATTTTTTTATTGGTTCATGCGTAAAAATGGACAAACTTGTTTAAAGATTATGAGAACAATACGTTTCAAAGCCTCATACTGCACAAGATTTCAGCATGGGTCACTGCTTTAGCATTGAACCACATCAATGGCTCATGAGCTTCTCCTGTCTTTTCTGATTGGATGTCATAGGTAGTTGATGGGTCGAATTCACAGGAACTATAGGTAGAGAAAAATCAAAATTTATGATTAACTTTTGGAACATGTTTTATTAGACAGATAAAATAAAGGTTTCCGGGGCTTAAAAATCTTTGTGGTATAAGCTACCAACGGTATTTTATTACTGAAGATCCCGAAAAATGGGTGCTTTTTGAAGTGCATCCTCTCACATGGGAATAAAGAAGGCTACTTGAGAAGTATACTAAAACAAAGCAAGACCAAATATTTTATTTCTAGATCCAACATCATCAAATCCTACATCACATTTTTTTGCAGATTTACTTACCAAGTTTATAAACTACTCAGTAATAAGGAAGATGATGTCCATACATGTATGGGTATGGCGTCCTTGGTAAAAAGCTGCGGTATCCATAGTGACGGTATCCATGGTGACGGGAAGAAGGACGTACAAAGGATGGGGCATAAGGAGCAGCAAAGCGGCGGTGCATTCCAAAAGCAACATCTGCTGGGGAAAAAAAAAAAGGTCCTGTTACACGATAAAAATGTTTGCTGTAAATACTCGCGAGCGCAGACCAATTTTCAAAGATTTGTATTGTATGATTGCTATCATAGACACATTGACGTAGCTTTACAAGACTTGGAGTTGTACCTGATCTCTTGTGTCCAGGGCTGGAGTCACAGCTGTGCGGGCAGTGGCAAACAGGCTTTGGTTTCAGAGGTTTAAACTTGAACTTCGGAGGTGTACATTCACAGCAACAGGGCCACAAGCAAGGCCACTTGCACTTCCCCTTAGGTGCGGGCTCACGGCAGCATTCACAGCAAGGATTATTGACGCATGCGCCGAAGGTACAAGGGAAGGTAACGGAAGGACAGCATCCACTGTTGCAGCCATGATTGGTCTTGGGGTGACCAAAACCACCACAGCAATTACCACACATACATCCAGCACCACACCATCCGTCGTCATGGCAGTTGTGATGACACAAATCACAGACACCCCAGCTACCACCGTGGCTGCTGGCCCCACAACCGCAGCCGCCATGACCGCCAAAGCCACCGTGTCCGAAGCCCCCATCATAGATGTGCTCCACTCCACCATAACCATGGAAGCCTCCACCACATCCACAGCCACAACGTTTGGCTGAAAAAATAAAAAATACACATTTTAGAAAAACTGAAAAAGTAATGTTCCATAAACATTTTTAAGAGGGAAAAGTATTTAAGTTTGTTTTAAGTATAAAGTAAATAAGAAGATATAAAACACCAAGATTAATTAAAACATTCAATAATCAAGTTCTAAGTTATATCAAGATTTGACCATGCAAGTTACTTAAGGAATAAAGAGTATAAGTAAGAATATATTTGTGATAAACATCTAAAGTAAACATCTCTATGAATTCAAAATGAAAAGGAGATGCTATGCAAAATTTAATTTTAAAAATGTAGCACTTTATAAATGACTAGAATCGAAAGGAAAATGAAAAAATAAGTTCAAAGGTCAGTTAAACAACTGCAGTATGTTTACTCTAATCACCATCTAACTAAATAAAAAGTTTAAAGATACAAAGGTTTAAGTCAAAGGTTAAAGGTCACGAAGTCAAAGGTCAAATATTCACCTCATCGTTTACAACTACGAAAGGGTAAATTTTTGATGTAAAATTAAAATAAGACAAATGTATTTATTATTTCCATTATTATTTGGCCCTCAGTTGAATCGCTGGGCATAAGAAAGGTTGAATTTGTTTCTAATCTGTGAATCTGCATTACTCCCATTTACTGATCGCAGTCAGCTCTAATGAGAGTGATTTGTATCAACCTTGTTTTACCTTGTTGGCATTGAAACATGAATTAAAACAGACAACGATTGAAATCACCAATGTATTTATTTCCGATTCATGCTCGTAACAAGATACAATTTGTTAATAGAGTGCTTTAATTAATCAAAATTTTGAATAGTGGAAAAAGTACAAGAACATATATTATTGAACTGTTTAGTATTCTTATAATTTTCGCTGCTTTTCTTAATGTTGTGTTAATTGCTTGGTCATTCCTAGTCCCTTGTTGTTGATTGGTCGCTGCAAAACATAAGAACTAGGACCTCTCGTTCTCGGGTCATAGGTTAGATGGAATTGTCCATTGAAGAAAGCAGTCTTTGGCTGATCAATCATTGAGTAACTGAAATGACAAGAATTTCACTAGTCGTAAGAGAGGGTCTTTAATTTAAGGGCTAGGGCTATGTGGATTTATAGGGATGAAGGGAAGTGGTGTCTGAGTTTATTGGGTGGAGGGGCTTAAGTTGGGAAAAGGAGGAGGGATTTGCATTTGTGTCTCATAGATTGATAACCCACAGATTTGAGTTGGTGTGTGTTTTGCGTGACGGTTGTTGCGTGACTACATGTAGATGTTTTTAAAGTGACTGCACCGCAAAAAGAAAATTCTGGGAGAAGATTATCAAAATCACCAAAATCATGCCATTTCTTGATTATGATATCTGCGACTTCTATTTAAGGCACTGAATTTAGAATAAAAAAACAAAAAAACAAAAAAAACAAACAAAAAAACAAACAAACAAACAAAAAAAACAAAACAAAAAAAACAAGCAAACAAACAAAAAAACAAAAAACATTCCATTCTCCTTTCAAACATTTCTTAGGGACAGATATATTTAGAATATGTTACATTAAATTAAGATGTGCCCACAGTCGTTCTTAAATATAAGCAAAGTAACCGCTTATATTTTATGCTTGACTTACCTATTGAGTATTTAATAGTAAGCAAGAGGGGGTCCATAAACGTAAGGTGGTGGAGCTACGGGCACTAATGCATGAGGGGCGTATCCATAGGGATGGACGGCGGCAGGGACGTAGGCTGGAGCGAGAGGAGCAATAAACTGGCGACGCTTTCCAGAACAAATTTCTGGGTAAAGAATAAAACAGATTAAAAATAAGAAAACCAAAGAACTGTAAAATAATTTATATCTTGTCCGTGGCAATGAGTAATGGTGGTCCTGTGGTATTTTCCAGAATATTTTTGCGATCTTGATACAAGTTTTTGATTTTTACAAGTAATCATACGATAACACAGAACAAGAGTCTTCGTTTTGGTGGTGGTGTGCGTGTGCATTTTGGAGCGAGCCTTTACCTAGAATATAGTACGTTTGTGCCATCAATTAGTATAAATATATACCTGATCTCTTGTGTCCGCAGCCGCAGTGGTTGTGCGGGCAGTGACAAACAGGCTTGGGCTTCAGAGGTTTAAACTTGAACTTTGGAGGAGTACATTCACAGCAACACGGCCACAAGCAAGGCCACTTGCATTTTCCGGGGGGAGCCGGCTCACGACAGCACTCACAGCAAGGATTATTGACGCATGCGCCGAAGGTACAAGGGAAGGTAACGGAAGGGCAGCATCCACTGTTACAGCCATGATTGGTCTGTGGGTGACCAAAACCACCACAGCAATTACCACACATACATCCAGCACCACACCATCCGTCGTCATGGCAATTGTGATGACATAGGTCACAGACACCCCAGCTACCACCGTGAGCGCATCCACATCCACATTGACGTTTGGCTGATAAGGCAAATGATAAACTGTGTTAATAATAGTATTATAACATTATCAACATATGACATACACCTTATGCTCAGGAACGAAAAATCTCGTACAAAAAATAGAATAAAGGCTGAAAAGTCAAGAAAAACAAATGTTATATAATAAAAACTAAGTGACAAAA